GCAGCTAATGGAAAAAAGTGTCCTGTTCTTGACTCTGGTGCATTTTTTACAGCAGTATCATGCTGGAAGACATTAGAGATGCTTGTTTACAGACTTGCCTGCGAGGTTCCAGAGAGAGAAGCTCAGAAAATTGCTGGTTCTTCTTAAGTAGCTGTTGTCTTTGGACAAAAATTACATGCATCTTGCCAAACGGACCTTGGGACACTTCCCAAGTCATTATTCAGGAGCGTGCAGGTGCACGCTGAGGCTTTGAAATCCCCACACATAACAATGCCAAGCTGACAATCATCCCTTGAAGCAGTATCAGCTCAAACAGGCTGTGCTCAGCCTTGCCTCTCATGTTGTGCTCTGAAAACAAACTGGTGCTGCATGCAGATGTGTTCCAGAGTCAGTGAAGTTGAAATTATGAGGCTGGGATTTATACAGTCTATTCCAAATATGCCCAGCTACCTCTGTGATTTCTTGTTGGGGGTAGGAAAAGAACATCCTTCATCTCAATGTCAGCAACTTGCATCAAGAAAACCACCATACTTAAGAGAAACATCAGAAAAGAAAGTTCCCTTTTTATCTATTCATTCCTGGTTATGTGGAATGTAGAACTCAACTCACAGTTGAGTTGGCCTGACAAATTAATTCGTAGTGTTGTATAAAGACACTAGAAACAGCTATGTAAAAAACAATGCAGATGTTTTATATACATTGAACTAATTTTCTAATTATTTTTTTGGCATTGCATCTCCCTCCGTGCATTTGCAAGTTTGTAGGTGCCTGAGTATGTATAATGCTGTTTGCATAGGGTTTTTTCCTATGTACTTTATCTGGGTGTGTATAAGCAGATAATTGTACATGGATTTGTCATAGGTGTGCTCTTGCTGTCAGTGATAGTGTTGCCCAAACAGGAAAAGTAGTGCAAAATAAAGGGATTAAGCTCATGTACAGTGCAGTGCATGCAGTCCATGTCTGCACCTCTCCCTTACTCTGTGTATCCCTCTCTCTCAAAAAAAATACTGTTTGATAATCCAAAGAGTGGGTCTTCTCAGTAAGCTGCTCAAATGAGGGAGGGGAGGAAGGGAATCACCAGAATTCAGTACCTACAATTTAAAAATGTTAAAAACTCTTTACTTCAATCATTGTATAAGATGAGTTGTAAACCAGCAAACCAAATTGCAGAATCAATTAATTTATAAAAGACCTCTGAGGTCACTAAGTCCAAACTGTGGCAAAAAAAAAGTGAACTCCTATCCTCAATTCATATTCTCTCTTGACATTGTGCAGTCTGATGTGCTCCAGCATGAGTGATTGTTATGAAAGAAAGCATTGGAACTCCATCATGGAAATTCTGAAAAGTTATGGACATAAGGAGTTAAGGAAAGTCATTTTAATATCTTGATTCCTTTATTTTTGGAGGCATAAGCCCCCATAAACTGACACTTCTGGTATGAGGTCAGCCATAGTAAGTACATATGGCAGTGGAGTGATTTAAAGCATAAAAACCCTGGTAAATCCCCATCACTCAATTTGTGCACACTGCAAGGATGACTTTTTTGGGTACACAAAGGTCTCAAGAACAGGACTTTGCTTAGATCTCAATGAATTTCACTTACAGAGCATCCCAATATCAAATTCTTAAACTATCCCCTAATTAAAATATTATTGCTGTCTTCAGTTTCGGACTCTGCAAAAGCAGATAATAAAGTGCACAATTAGTTTACACAATTTGTTCTTTTTGTGTCTGTGTTAATCTCGTTTTCTGCTATAGGCTTTTGAGGACTATGGGGGGAGATTCTGTTCTTTTGTTTGTGAGCCTTCACACCTCACCTTCTCTGGCTGCTGTAGCTGGGTCAGCCTCTGAAGTTAAAAATCAATCGGATTGACAAAATTATTTTGTCTTATATTTACCTTAGCTGACTTCTGAGCTAGACTGTTTGTTTGAAAACAGGATTTTTTTTTTGTACAGTCTGATTTCCACTTTCCATAAGAAATGAAATATTTCTCTATGAGGAGAAGGATAAAATATAGGAATGAATTAAAAATGAACACCTCTGAAAAAAATTAAATTACGTTGAAATGAAAATGCCAAGATTTTGTATGTATGGGGAAAAAAATACAAGATAATCTAAAGGGAAATAAGCAATCTGAAAACTTACTACAATCTAGTCAAAATGATTGCTTTTTACTTAAAAATTTTGCTTGACATGAAAATATTAGTTTATTTGTCTGCTGCCTTGGATTTTTCTTTGTTCAAGATATTGCATTTCTTCTGGCTTTAAAATACAACTTCACAAACATTATTTTAAAACCACTTGTTAGCTTGTTTACACTACTCAGCAGGGAGTAGGAGCTAAAAGTAACAGAGCCAAATGAATGCAACTGGCCAGTATTATATATATATATATATATATATATATATATACATGTGAGTATTAGAAGGGTGCTTTTGTCTTCCTTGAGAAACTAAACTAGATACTACTGTGCCATATACAACTTGTTATAAACATGCAAATCATTGATCAGTTTTTGTTTAAAGAGTGATTATTATGCCAGACAAAATAACCTCTATCAAAGTCTTCACTTTCATTTGTCATTAAAAATGTAACTTCCCTGTTGTTATCTTTTACTGTAAATTAATTAAAATAGCTATGGAGGGGGTAGTGATATGTAAAGTACAGGTTTGATACAATCAGAAGTGCAATTTTTTGCTGGTATTGCTGAGGTTTTTTTCACTCACACAGCGAGCACTTGCTGATCTGTGAATGTACCAAGCCTTTCAGATGTAAATGTGACTGTATCAATTTATGTGGCTGTGTAAATTAAGCTGAAGAGGAACTGGGAGGAGGTAGAAGGAAAGTCAGGATTCGCAGCTGATGTGAATGCAGAGAAGGGTAAAGTCCCTCAGTGTTACCCTAAAGCACTCTCAGGCTGGCAGGGGTGTGATACAGGTGGTGCCCAGCTTTGCTCTGGCAGCCTCAGAGAGCTGCCCCAGGGCTCTGCAGCCTCCCTTTGCTGCAGTGAGATGAACTGAGATTCTCCTCTCAGGGGAAGTTCAGCACACTGAGCCCTGGTACCCTGACCTGCTGGCAGGGTCAGACCCTGAAAAAGCCCCAGTGGGCTACAACATCCAACATGTCCTCTCCTGGTGCTGGTGGCTGTAGCTACAGACCATTGGGTTCATCAATCAGAGCACCATCACCTCTCAGAGCACTAAATGCCATTAAATGCTAAGGATAGCTTAACTTAGATTCCATGTGGTGGTGTTGGCTATGACTCCTCACACCCCAATCCACCCTCCAAGAATTCCCACCAGCGTCAGAATCTGCTCCAGCTGCACTAGAAGTGGTCCCTGTGCCTTGTTTTGCCCTGGGTGCTGCTGTCTGTGAGCCCTTGGTGAGGCTGTGCCTGCCTGTTGGCTGGGCACTTGGAGCTAACAAAGCCAGCCTGCTGCTGCTGATCCCAGCTGGACAAGCAGAAGCATTGCTGTGAGTACAAAGGCTGTTCTCAGTCATGCCAGCAGAGCAACAAGTCTTTGGGTGTGTGGAAAAGTGAGATGGGTGGGGGTGGGGGGCTGCTGCAGCATGGGCAGGCAGGGAAGGGTAACTGGTTTCATGGAACAGTGTAAGCTCCACATTACTCTCCTAATGCAACCAATTTTTCTCTGAACATAAATGGAAAATGTGATGTCAGACTTGATATACAAAGTATTTGTCACTGAAGTTTTTACTACAAGATATTTTGAAACAATTTTTTCCCTATTAAAATTTTTAGAACCCAAGAAATACACTGGATGTTTCTGGGGAAACTCTAATGCCAATTCTTGTGATGCATGAAACTGTCCATATGAGGATCTGAACCTGGAAACAGATTAGAACAAGAATTGTTTCTTAGGTGTTTACATTTGTACAGTGCCAGTTGTGGTGGAACGTGGCTGTGAAATACAAACTCTAGAAGTTACTGGGGGGTCCAGGTTTGGCACTGTGATGGAGTTTGATCCTTGTTCCAGTATGGCCAGTTTAAATATCATGTCAAGTGGATAAATTACATGTAAACAAGGATTCTGTATACAGAATTTGAGTGAAAATTTACAGAGCTGAAACTGGCTCAGTTGGTTATAGCATGGTGCTGATAATGCCAGGGTTGGGGGTTTGATTCCTGTATGAGCCATTAATTTGAAAGTTTGGCTTAAGAATTTTTGTGGGTCACTTCCAAATCAGAATATTCTGTGATTAGAGACAGTAACTAGTGGAACGTCAAGTATTTTATTCTCACAAGACACTCTGGTAGAGATGAGAAAGTCCTCTCAAGCACAGAAATTGAACTAAAGCACCTGGAATATTTTTTGCATGTTAAGTCAGATATAATTGTTACAAAAATAAGCAAGTGCAAATTGTTTGCAGCAATGAAAAGAACTACCCTGTTGGGCAGGAAGTGGCATTTATTCTTGCTTGTTATTATGATGGAAAGATTTGATATTCCTGGTGACTATGAAGATTAAACCAGAGATTTATGTTAATGCAAAGGATTAAAAGAATTTTAATAACACTTATAAAGATGCAAATGTTCGCCTGCATTTTATCTTTTTGCAGATGAATGTGCCATAAGGGAAATATTGAAGGGGGAGAACACATCCTCAGTCTGAATTGCAACATCTGGTTTAATACTGCTCTCACATGGTCATTAAGAATTAGTTGTTTTCACCAGTGTGCTTATGAACAGTGTAAGTTTGATTAGACTTTTTCCCCCTGACAAACTTAAGAATATCAGGAATCAGTGATCAACATCCACCTTCAAACATATGGGGCCTGTGTATGGCTTCATGCCTTGCACATTTCAATAAACTGTAAATATTGCTCAGTGTATTTTCCTTCTTGCTACTCCATCACTTAAAGATTGATTTTCTGAACAGTAAAGAGCTTGAGATACTGGCTGCACTTTAGAATTGCCAGCTGTGCTCCCCTCATTTCAAATACACTGTCCCCCAAGTGCAAACACAGGCCACACCAGCCTGAAAAATTCTGTGCTTTATTTGGGGGCCCTGACATATTATACATATATGTACATACATTTCATGTGGAGAAATTATAGAAAAAAATATGATTCGAAAAAGGAGGCAATTAAGGTGAAAGTGTAAACATCTGTTTATATTCTGGTTTGCATTTTTCCCTGCTCTTCAACCAATTGTTTGCTAACAGGTAAGTAAGTATATATAAACAGATGCCACCTGGATTTGTCACACAATTCAACTGATGCGACTGTGGAAATACCCAGGCTCTCAAATTAATATAGATCTTCAAAAGGTTTTGAGTAGTTGAACATCAAGTAATCCATATAGTAAAAGTCATAGCTTTGTTGTCGTTGAGAAGGAGAAAGCTGTGCAAAATACTGCTGTGTAATTTTAGTGGTAGTTCTTTCTTCATTGGAGTGACGATCTTTAAACTTGGGGAAAGTTAAGTTTTGTGGAGCACCAATTAAGTGCAAGAAAAAGTTTGCATCTTCTTCCATACTTTCAAATTTCCCAACGAAGTCGTAATCTATTAAACATGGGCTGCAAAGCCTATTGACATGATCCCAGTGTATATCCATACCCACTGGCCTGTGTACATCCAGGAGATACTGAATGAACTCTTTAAACTTGACTCCAGAGCCTGTCCTCAGTGCTTCTTTGGTGGCATTGACGCGGTATCTGGAAATGATGGCTTTTCCAAAGACCGGGTGGTAGTAGTTGTTTGGATGTTCAAACTTGTCCCGAAATGCAGACACCAGCTTTTCAAAGGGCTCGCGAATAAATAGCATTTTTGTGTAAGTGCTGAGCCTGTGATAAATTCCCTTGTGGTCAAACCCATCCAGCCGTTTCAAGTAGTTGCCGTAGTGCACGGTGTTGTGCTGGATGTCCTTTGTGGAGGAGGCCAGCCCGTTCAGCACCATCAGCACCCGCTTCCAGTTAGAGCAGCCAGCTTTTGGCACTTCACAGTACAAAACTCTGTATTTGTCTTCTACAAATATTCTAGACACATGATAAGGAGTGATTATTCTTCTGTTATTACTCTTGTATTTTGAACAAGTTTCCCTCATAATCCGCTTCCTTTCTCCTTGGATCTGATAGAGATTTTTCCACTTGCTGTTGTTTCTATCCTCATATTTAAGTGTGGGCAGGTTGAGAATGGAGCTGTTCATGGAAATCAGAATTGGGCTCTTTTTAATTATAAACCTCCTCCTGCGTTTATGGAGCTTGATGGAATTAATTTCTTCACCTTTCTGTTGATCTTTCATAGCAAACATGATGCTGCTTTGCCTTCTGTCAGTGCTTTGAAGCTTGGTGGGCACACTTTCAGATGACTCTAATGAATTGCTCCGCTTAACCATTGCTGCTCTGTCTGCAGTATTTTTTCTTAATCTTCTATCCTGGTTATTGCTGGAAACACAATCCTGCTGAGGAAAAATAGATTAAAGACATTAGTAAACAAGAGATTGTCACTACTTGCAGCTTGCATCACATCACGTGGATCTTTGGTAACTTTTAGAACTGTACAACAAAATGTTGTACAACAAAATGAGCCCTCAGCACTGCACTGTGGTATGGGCTCTTCTCTTGTCCCCTTGTTCTGTGCTCACATGAAACTCAAAGGCAGAGATGAACCTGATCTAAGTTTCCAGTAAATTCTAGTTCCTATTTGGATTTATTACTGTATTTTAGGTGGTGTACTCAGACCTTGACAGATACTTTTGTCTTAGACGTTGTTGAAATTTCTACAAAAAGGTATCTGAGTATTTTGAGGACTTGCTTACTTATTCCAGACTGCCCCTGTTGTCACACAAGCTGAAGGGTTTGTTTGTTTGGCTTGTGTGTTTCCCACCACCACCCCCACATCAGTAATTAATCTTTGCAGTGAGGACAGATTGGCACAGAGTTAAGCCCAGCAGGGAAGGGAGGGAGGTCTGTAGAGTTTGCAGGGTGGAGTGAGATGTAAGTATGGGCAGAGGGAGCAGGAAGAATGTCAGTGAAAATGCAGAGGTTTGGCTCACAAGAAGTGGGTTTGGTGAGAGCAGCATGAAGGAGACCCCAAAGGGAGGATGGAGTGAGGTGAGCCTGCAAGCAGAGCAATGGAGGCCGAGTGAGAAGCAGAGGGAGGTGGGAATGAAGCTGGAATTAGGTCCCAAAAACCAAGGAAGTACAGCAGGTCTATGGGAAAGGCTTTCTGGGACTTGCTCTTTTTCACTGGGGGATCTCTCTGTTTATGCTTCCTGCATACAGCCCAGGTGTGCTCCATTACTCTCTGCTTTTCAAAGTAGCTGAATTAAATCCTGTCTATGCCTCCAAGATTAAAATTATGTTCTGGTTACTGTTTAGCTATGTGTCATCCCCATTCTGAGGTCACCTGGATGACTGTAGCATATGAACTACCATGGAGTATTTCAACAGAGAAGAATATGTAGTTGCAGAAAGTTTATTGCTGACACAAAATATTTAGTTAGAGGACTTATAATTTTAAATTTAAATTTTGGTTTTCAGTGTTTCCCCAATAGTATTTAGAACTGGCTTAAAAATAAGATACTATGTGAATTTTAAGGTGTACAGTTGGAGATTAGAAGGGTTGTGCTCTTTCAGGGTGCTCTTTAAGATTAAATCTTAATCAATTTTATAAGTCTTTGTTGTCTGAAAAAAGGCAGTGCAACAGGTGACAAACTTGTTCTGTCATGGAGGTTTTATCTTGTCACATTCTAGTTAAAGGTCAGAGAATAAAAAAGTCTCAGAAAAGAGATTCGGGATTCATTACAAAAAACATTGTTGACAAAACCAAAAAAAATCAAATGGTATTTTGTAGGAGACTTGCTTATATTGATAATTGCTATAAAACACTTGAACACGACATATCAGTATTAAACAGAAGTTTTAGGACACTTGCAGAATTCAAATTGGATGCTCTGGTAGTGAAGATGGTGTGCAGACTGGGACACCAACTGAAATTTTGTTTTGCAAAACACTGTTCAGTTGTTGGGAGTGATTATTGTACTCTACTCTCACCTTCAGAGGTTGTTTCTACAGTCAGAAGTGTGTTTGTCTTTGTAAATACCAGATGTATTTCTAAACATTACCCTTTACAAGAGTGGCTGTAATTCAATCCTATTTACTCATGACATGGCTGATATTTAAAGGTTATCAAATTCAGGCTTCCCACAATTCTGGACCTTTAATGACGCCGATGATGACCCTGGAGTTTTTGGGCAACTTGAGTGTCTTCTGTCAGTGTAAGCCTTGATCGGGCTGAGCTGCAGAGGAGCTGTCACTCCCTGTCACCTGCCTGGGCAGGCGATGGCACCTGGGCACAGCTGGGCACGGCTGGGCACACCTGGGCACAGCTGGGCACGGCTGCTCCTTGGCACAGTTTGCTGCTGTCCTTCAGCTGCGGCTGGAGGCAGCCCCGTGCAGCCGCTAGATGGGGGAATTTCACCAGAATTTTCCTTTAGCCTGGTTTTAAGTACCTCTCAAGGCATTCATTTGATCAGCGTGATTTCATACAGAATATTAATATATTCAAAGTTTACAGTATCTTTTAGCAATATCCAGCCTAGGAAAAAAGCTCATAAAACTGAAGTTGCATAGCTTATCATATTCCTATTTTAACATGAAAATTTGCATTTTCATGGCTAAGTTTTTGATGTATCTTTCCTTTTCAGTACTTCATCCCCAGTGTAGTGGCCTTATCTGAGCCATCTCTATCTGTACTCCATACTCAGAATATGGGTACAATTTTCTTTATGTACTTCTGAAAACTTACTTTTTTTGGTTGCTGGAATCCCATGTTATATTTTATCCCTAAACAAAGAAAGAAAGTAAAGTAATTATTTAGCAATAAAAAACATTTGTTTCTTCTCTTCTAGACTGATACAGCCTGTGTTGTTAATGCAATGACAAACAGACCAATGGTGAATCATAATTAATGTATATTTCAAAGTAACAATAATCCTTGAAAGGCCTCTTTATGTATAGATGTCATAAAAGTTGTGGAGTGGAAGACTCTATGACTTTCACCCTTTTACAAATGGGAAAACTGAGATGAACAAAAGTGGAACAAAAGTGATTGCATAACCTCAGTTAAAAGGCCAGTAGCAGAACAAGAATCAGTTGAAGGTTGTGTTTCCAGGTTAGAGATCTAAAACAAAAAAAAAAAGCTGTCCTTTGTGTATTTCCCCACACCTGTGTGGCTTGTGCCCTGGAACCTTTGATAGGGCAGTACTTAATCATAGCACTTGCATGGAGTACTCTGCTGGGAAGACAACACGCAGTGCAGTAATGTGTGAGGTAATATTTGCACCCTTTTGGAGAGGCAAACAGCACAGAATTATATTTTCTCAAATCTTCTGACTTCTACAGTGATATGTACCTGAAAACAGAAAAATAAAGATGTGAACATCTGAGATGGCAGCTGTAGCTGATGTGTAGGGTTTCTTTCATGGCCTTTGTTAGGTATAACTTAATAATACAGAAATGGATAATGGAAATATTACTGAATTATGACATTTGTCTGGGGCTTTTCAGCGGGTAGAACTGTTGTCATCACTGTCAATGTTGTTTGAAGACTTCATTTTAATAAGTCTGCATGATGACTCCATAGACTTTTGGATGAGGACAATTACAGCTAAAAGTCTTGCACAGCATTAAGTGAAAGCTCTGTCAGTCCCATCAGGTTGATTTTCATGGTTCCAGGAAAGCTCTCAGGAACACCTTGCATGATAGTTCACACTGTGACTTGCTGCAGTGAAGGTAGCAAGTCTAGCCTAGATGATCAGTCATGCTTTATTTTTGAAATCAGATTTACAAACTGATATTTGTAGTAGAGTCTAAATAAATTTGCTCTGATTATTTCCATGCTCCAAGAGCTCCCCCAAGAGTGTTGATGATACTTTTGGCTTATGTTTGAGCTTTAACTCCACTTCTGCCATTTGTTAGCAATGAACTCAAAGTTGTGTGGGATATTGTGATTCTGTGCCTATTACAAGTAAAGAGCATATTGGTTTTACTTCATCAGAAATAAGTTCTAAACATCTTACAGAAGGAGTCTTAAGACTTCCCCTAGCTGTTTCTCAAGAATGTTTAGCTGCAGATTAAAGTCAGAAGGTGTCTATTAAACAGAAACAGAGCTTGTCTGCAGCATTCCTGTGTTGGTTCTGGAGACCTGAGGCTGATTCTGCTGTACCAGGCTTTAGGAGATGCTCCTGAGCTTTTGTCCAGTTCCTGATGTGACCAGTTAAAAACCACATTTATTCTACTGCTGTGTAATGTGTTACAGAGCAAGGCAGAGCAGGAACCTGCTGTACAAAAACCCCAGCAAAATCTGAGCACCAGCACTTTGAAATAACTGATACTAAAGCATGGGTGATCTGTTTGTACCATGAAAATGTTGTATTTATCAGTAAATGTAACTGCTTCTTTTTTGCTAACCCTAAGGGCCTAATTTTAAGGTGTTTGAGCTGCTTGGCCTTTGCTCTAAGGTATCATTAATACAGTTACTTGGAGTAGTTATAAGATGTGAAAGATGTGTTCCCTTTCCAAAAGTATTTTGAGCTTTTTAAAGTTGAAAACTTAAATAGGTGAGGAAAGACTTTTGGTCACTTACCAAAAAACTGGGGAAGTACTTCAGATGGAATCAGTTACAAATACTGATCATTTGTTGTGTCCAAATTATACTGTAACTTAGGGTTAGTTTTCTTCAGTTGTGATCATTTGTTCTGACTTAAAGCAAGCTCTGGTACCTTGTAGCAAACCCACATACTTTGTGCAATTACCTCTTAAATTTGGTGTCACGACTAATAATTATTAATAAAATCCCACAAAAGTGCAAAGAGCAGGTATGAGACCTAAATATTTTTTGGTTTATTATATTTGTGTTTTTGTTGTAGTTTTTCATAAAGACAACTTATTTGAGATATTAATATTTTGTACTCCTATGCTTTGTTTTGAAAAATGAGAAATAAATGCTAGGAGGAGATGAGTAACCATTTGAAAAGATGGTTATTCATTTACTGGCTTTAAGATGTAATCAGAACAAGAATTCCTGCTTAATATAAATGTTTGGTGAAGCACTTGCCAATCTCTTTGATGTTTCCTGAATTTGTGACATCTAAATTTGGCTTCTTTTAGTTGTCTTTCTTATGATACAGTCTGTCACTTTAGATTTAAATCTACATGGTAAGAACCTCTTAAGTGCAGTGAAGTCAGGGAAGTTATATTGCACAGATCTATTATACTAATAAAAATCTTAATTTATTGTTATGCTACACCTTTACTATCCATATTTCTTACCAGGTCTTTGACGTTATTGCCAAAAGGGTAATATTTTTGGTCATAAATTAACCACTGGTGTCTGGTACACGCAGTTGAAGGCAGTGATCAATAACTCTGAGGTGCCAGATGTGATGATGGCCAACATCTCACCGGTGCCCAAACACAGAGGGAATAGCAGAGACAGACTCATTCTCTAATTACAGACTGTTTATGTTGTTTTTCATGGTGTTCTTTTCTCTTTCACTTGGGGGACCATGATTTTCCAGGCTTGAGCCTGGCCTGTGTTTTATCCAGTCCTACCACATAGTGAAACCCACTGTGAGCTATTCTTTATTTTCTTTTCCAAATGCTACTAGCAATGCAATAAAATGTCTTTCATCTTCCTTGGGTAATACTATATAGTTTTACCATTCTGCTTTCTCCTCTGTCTCTGCTTCAAGACCTAATTTTGGTTTGCCTCTGGTGTTTTGCTCTGGTTTGAGACTCAACTACAGCTGAAGTATTTTTTAATAAAAATGATAACTTCAAGTCTGCATCTGCAACTCATCCCTTACAGGGCTTCTGTGCACAGAGTGCTCTTGTTTGCTTCATCCAAATAGATTTGTGAAATTTACTCTGGAATGGATGTTATGACATTTCAGGAACATCTGTGTGAAGTATCCTATCCAAACACGCCTCAGTCTTAGGTCTTTTCTCAGAGACAGCAATGTGTACTTAATTGCAGAATGAATAATAGAGTAGTACTCATGATTCTGATAAACATGAAAAAAAAATAGCAGGAAGAAGATTTTCCCAAATATACTGGTCAGAAAATCAAGATAGTTTTTCTTCCTTTTTTTTTTCTTTTTTAAAATTTAAACTTAACTCAGCTTGTACAGTATAAAAGACCTGCCCATATCTGATCCTAACTTACTCCTGTCCAGTATTTTACCTCTTTGAATTAAATTACTCAGTAAAGAAATTTAGTTAAAGGTTGCTACCATAATAAATTATTTGGTTTTCCATCAATATAAAATATAGATGTAGTATACATATCTGTAATACTGTTAAAATACAGATACCTCTAAAATAAAAGCATTTTCTGCAAAAATTAAGGTCTAATTAGAACCGACTTTGTATGCATGTCTGTTTTAAGTATGTGCTATAAATCCTTTTTCTAACATAAACTTACCATTTGATTTGTAAAAATGCCTTCAAAAGTTCCATCTAACACAACAACTCATTTTAACAGAGATGGAATTAATGAGGCCAAGTAAAGAAGGCTTAGCAAAGCAGCAGCACATCTCAAACTGTACATCAGGAAAGAAGCCAACCTGTGCAGTGAATGGAAATGATCTGATCCCTCTGAGTCCCCAGTGGGGCTGCCAGGGTGTGGTGTCACTTCCCACCCGTGGCAGCTCTGCCTGTGGGTGCCTGGGTTAAACAGCACCTGCCAGGCAGGTTTGGTGCTGGCTGCCTCTGCACTGGGGAAATGATGGAGTGCTTCTGGGGCAGTCTCCAAACCAGGCCCTTGGAGCTCTAAGTGGTTAATTGTCGGAACTCAAAATGTCCCTCAGACATTTTCAGAGGTTCCAGGCCTTGGTCAGAAGCATTTTAGACCCTGGCAAGCAGCTGAAAACAGCTGTGATCTTGAGTTTGAACCATGGAATGAATTACCAACTTTGAAGGTGGAACAAGCGGTCACAGAGGGTTAGATGGTATAGTAAAAGTAGTTACAAATTAGAGGGAAAAATTTTTTAGTATTGTACAGGGGGGTTTTAGCACCTGTACAGGGGGGTTTTACTTTGTACATGGGGGTCAGGAGTTCTAAGATGGAGGAAAGTGGGCCTGATCCTGTTTTTCCTCTTTCTTCTTCCTTACCTCCATGTTCTTGGTGATGTTGGCATTTTTCTGTTGGTTCAGGCTGGGGACACACTGTCCAACGTAGGTGACAGATATTGGCACATTATTGTAAATATAGCACACGTAGTTTCTGGTATTTAATGTTTGTAACATCCCACTGAGGGCAGAGCCCCACACGCTGCCCTGCAGGACAGAGCTGCGGCAGGGCAGCAGAACATGTTAGAGATAAACAGAATAAACAACCTTGAAAACAGCACAGACGAATTATGGCTTCTGCTTTGGCAGTGGGGCAGAAAGACAGAGACTTTCTACAATCTCGGAATCACCAATACCCACAGATTCCAACAGTTAATCATGACTTCTTGACTAAAATGCTTCTTTTTTCCCCCTTATTTTTGGAAAACATAAGAAGTTTTCCAAGCTGCTGAGGGTTGGGCTTTTTTAATCTCTTTGAGCTTTCTTTCATGTGTGAGTTCCTTTGTAACTCGGGTAACACATTTGTCCCGAATTCTGGGCTTTTTGTTTAAATCCTGCCATTGTCAAGCATACAATTCCTAATAGTTTAAATATTATTTGAGGAATTTTGAACTATGACTGACAGCTTATTCTTAAGCAGTTGTTGTGGTGAAGTAGAACACTTCCCAAAAAGAGAGCCTCATTTTCCCCTCTCCTGTGCTAGTATTGTGCTA